AAAAAAAAAAAAAAAACAAGGCAGGAATTTCTTTAGAGCTATGGAAAGAGCTGGCACTCATGGCATTACTGGAAAATGAATAAGCTCATTTAGCAATGAAGAGGATTGACATCACTTATCAGGTAATTACAAATAATCCACTTGCACTGAAATGACATAACTTCCAAAAAACAAAATCGCTGGGTAGGGACATACACCAAGCACAGCACTGAACATTTATTTAAATTAATGCTTATTATTTAATACTTAACAATGTAGCATAATGCTCAGTGCCTTTATTCTGCATGCATATATTTCTACACAAATAATTAAGGTTAATCATGTAATAAGGTTAGAATAATAACATACACTGCAAGTGTATCACTACAGTATCACACCATACAAGTTGTTTATGCTTGAAAAATATTATACTGTGGAATCATTTCTATTACAGGATTATACTAATTGACTTTCACCAAAGACGATATAAAGTACTGCTTTAGCACATTGGGGGATGGGATTTTACTATGTTGGTAAGGCTGGTCTTAAACTCTTGACCTCAGGTGATCCATCCCCCATCCCTTGGCTTCCCAAAGTGCTGGGATTACAGGCATGAGCCACCACATCTGGTCTCTTTATGGAATGTCTTATTTCTTATTCTTCACTTGCAACTTGTTATATATAAAATGATGTTCTTATGTCCTCACCTCAAGAAAACTTTATTAAGCTTAATGTGGACTAGCTTCAGAGTTAAAAACTCCTATGGGCACAATCTATGGGAGCCCTAGATTTCTGTGGAGTTTACCTCCAGAAGGCTGCCCAGTATCCCATGGTTAAGAACTGAGGAAATCCCCTTCCTGTTTGGTCAAGGGGATAGAAAAAATAACTATTGTGAAATACTCCGAGAAGAAAAGTAGCCATTTTGAAATAAGCAAAGAGCATCTCCTCAACAAAGGCCTTTACTACAAGCAAAAATACTTCCCCAGCGCCTTAGCCAAGTTGAGGGAATGAAAATTACCTAACTCTAGCCCTCTCTCACCATGCCATCTCATGTAAGGATAGAATTAAAAAGCTGAGAAGCACCTGTGAATGTCAGAGCCCAGAGGCTCAGGTCCACTAAACACTGAGATCTCACCAGAGCAGAGCAGAATGCATCTCCTCCTCCCATGATGCATCAACAGGGCTATGACACCGCAGTGTGGATTATAGCTGGAGGAACAGCAAGGCTCAGACTCCACATGAAGTAGTTTCTAGGGAGACCCAAAGACAGCAGAGGAGATAAAAGCAAAAACACTAGACGAAATTATATCCTGTGACACCTACAGCTAATGCAAACAGCAAACCCAGCCTGACTCCTAGCCAGATAAACACAAAAGCTCACAGTAAAAGTCAACCTAGCTCAGTTCCTTTTACCGTATATATTATGTCCAGATTTCAAAGAAAAATAACAAGGGATGCTAAAAGACAATTAAAAAGACGATTTAAAGATACAAAGGTGTCACTAAAAACAGATTCATATAACAAAAGTGTGAGAATTACCAGACCAGGAATTTAAAATAATTTTATTTCAAAAGTCTACTGGAAAAGTGAGCAAGATGTAACAATGTATAAGAAATGTAAGCAGAGGAGGGGGCTGAAGGAGCCCGTGGCGGCGGCAACTACAGCGAAATGGCGGAGACCGTGGCTGACACCTGGCGGCTGATCACCAAGCTGCAGAACCTGAATGACGCCTACGGGCCTCACAGCAACTTACGCGAGATCGATACGAGCAACCCTCAGACGGTGGGGGTCGGCCAGGGCCGCTTCACCACCTACGAAATCAGGGTCAAGACAAATCTTCCTATTTTCAAGCTGAAAGAATCTGCTGTTAGAAGAAGATACAGTGACCTTGAATGGCTGCGAAGTGAATTAGAAAGTGAGAGCAAGGTTGTAGTTCCCCCGCTCCCTGGGAAAGTGTTTTTGCATCAGCTTCCTTTTAGAGGCGATGGTGGAATATTTGATGACAATTTTAGTGAGGAAAGAAAACAAGGGCTGGAGCAATTTATAAACAAGGCTGCTGGTCATCCTCTGGCACAGAATGAACGTTGTCTTCACATGTTTTTACAAGATGAAATAATAAATAAAAGCTATACTCCATCTACAATAAGACATCCCTGACATTTGGCAAGAAGGGGCAAAAACGTGACTATTAATGATTAACATGCACCAGTGAAGAAGTTCTAACTTTTACCATGCTGCTCAGAAACTGGTATAACATGCCTTCAGTATGCTAACACTCATGCTCGGTTTTGTTTTGGCAGTTGACAAGAAGTTAATTTGCTTTAGCGAAAATCCGTCATTCAAGCCTTTCTATATGAATAGCTCTTTCTTGCTGTTTTAATGTGGGGCACACTATAGCCTCACAAACCCGTTATTCCAATGTCATCTGCAGTGTCCTAACTAAAGTTGCTGGCTTGGTCTTATTTGCACAGTTTTTGTGTCTTCTTTGCTTCTTGCATTTGATTAACCACAATATTTCTCTTTCCCCCTTTTAATGTGTCTGTGTCACTTGACCTAATTTATGTGTAGGAGCACCACACCATTGGTTTCTAATACTGCACACATAAGACACATATTTGTGTGCAGAAAGTATCTTCCTTTAGGCTTGTAATACCCTTCACATGGAAGATTAATGAGGGAAATCTTTATAATCTGTATAAAAACAAAATCAAATTTATATACTAAAATCATTTGTCCAAAAATTTAAGTTGTTTTCAAATAAAAATTAAAATGCATTTCTGATATGCACACAAAAAAAGAAATGTAAGCAGAAAGTTTGAGTTTCTAACAAAGAATCAAAAAGAAATGCTATGATTCAAAACATCATAACAGAAATGAAAAAAAATTTTTTTCTTTTTGAGATGGAGACTTGCTCTGTCACCCAGGCTGAAGTTCAGTGGCTTGATCTTGGCTCAATGCAACCTCTATCTCCTGGGTTCAAGTGATTCTTCTGCCTCGGCCTCTTGAGTAGCTGGGACTACAGCATGTGCCACCACACCCAGCTAATTTTTGTATTTTTAGTAAAGATGGGGTTTTGCTATGTTGGCCAGGCTGGTCTTGAAGTCCTGACCTCAGGTGATCCACCCACTTTGGCCTCCCAAAGTGCTGGGATTGCCGGTGTAAGCCACCATGCCTGGTCTAAGAATGTTTTTAATAAGTGCACCAGAAAACTGGACAGGGTGGAGAACAGAATCAATAACCTTGAAAGTAAGTCAACAGACCCTTCCCAAATTGAAAAGCAAACAGAAAAACATGGGGAAAAAAAAACCCAGAATATTTAGAAACTCTGTGACAATTGCAAAATGTGTAAATATTCAAGTTTGCAAGCATATAGTTTTTATAATATTCATTTATGATCCCTTTAATGCCCATGGCATTAGTAGCGATGACCTCTTTCATTTCCAAAGTTAGTAATTTTTGTCTTCCCTGTCTGTCTCTCTGTGTGTCTGGTTCTGTGTCTTTTTCTCTCTCATTCTCTCTTTTCCTCAGCTTTTTCCTCTTTCTCCCCCTCCTCCATCTTATTCTTATGCATTTAGATTAGATAGAATTAAGAATAATGAAGATTGTTATTAACCTTTGCTTATTCTTTCTCTAATGCTTTCCATTCTTTATGTAGATCTGAGTTTCCTACTTATCATTTTCCTTCTTCCTGAAAATCTTCTTTAAAATTTCTTGCAAGATAGGTCTACTCATGACACATTTTCTCAGTTTTTGTTTCCATGAGAGTCTTTATTTCTCTTTCACTTCTGAAGGATAACTTTACTGGGTTCAGCATTATCAGTTTATGGTTTTGTTTTTTCAGTACTTAAAATATATTATCTCTCTTCTTGATTGCATGGCTTCTGTTAAGAAATCCAGTGTTAAGTCTCATTTTTGTTCCTCTATAAATAAAATATTTTATTCCTCTGATTTTGAATATTTTCTCTGTCTTTGGTATTCTGCGGTTTGAACATGATTTGCCTATGTCTATGTAACAGTTTTTATTGTTCTGAACTTCCTGGATTTGGGGGTTGGTTTCTATAATTGTTAGAAAATTCTCAGTCAATATTGCTTAAAATATTTATGTTCTCCTTTTTATCTATTTTGTTTCTAGTATTTCCATTGTGCATGTTATACCTTTTGCAATTGTCTGGTAATTCTCACTTTTGCCATATGGGTCTGTTTTTAGTGCCACTTTGTCTCTTTAGATTGTCTTTTTACTTGTCTTCTATCATTCCTTGTTATTTTTCTTTGAAATCTAGGCATAATATATAGGTAAAAGGAACTGAACTAGATTGTATTGTACTGTATTGTATCTTTTTTTTTTTTTTTTTGAGATGGAGACTTGCTCTGTCACCCAGGCTGGAGTGCAGTGGTGCAATCTCTGCTTACTGCAACTTTCACCTCCCAGGTTCAAGCAATTCTCCTACCTCTGCCTCCTGAGTAACAGGTGCTACAGGCCCACCACCACACCCAGCTAATTTTTGTATTTTTTTAGTAGACATGGGGTTTCACCACGTTGACCAGGCTGGTCTTGAACTCCTAACCCAGCCTAAGCACTTAAACTAAATAGACACAAACTACCAAAACTCACTGTCTTAGGCTGGTGCGGTGGCTCACACCTATTATCCCAACATATTAGGAGGCCAAGGTGGCTGGATCACCTGAGGTCAGGAGTTTGAGACAAGCCTGGCCAACATGGTGAAACCCCATCTCTACTAAAAATAAAAGAATTAGCCAGGTGTGGTGGTACATGCCACCTTTTACACCTTTTTTATACGTAATGTCAGCTACTGAGGAGGCTGACGCAGGAGAATCACTTGAACCCAGTGGGTGGAGGGTGCAGTGAAGTAAGATTGGGCCACTGGGTGTCAGAGTAAGACTCTGTCTTAGTTTTTTTGGGTTGCTATACCAAATGCCATAACCTGGGTGACTCATATATTCAGCAATTTATTTCTCACAATTCTGGAGTGTGAGAAGTTAAAGATCAATTTTAGACACCAGCAGATTTGGTGTCTGATGAAGACCCATTTTCTAGTTCATAGGAGGCATCATCTCACGGTGTTTTCACATATCAGAAGGGGTGAGGGACCACACTAATCCCATTTATGAGAGCCTCATCCTTATGATCTAAGCACCTTCCAAAAGTCCCTCCAAATACTGTCACTTTGGGGATTAAACTTTAACACATAAATCTGGGGAGACACAAGCATTTAGTCTATAGCATTTAGACTAAATAGACAAAAAGAGAAATAGATAATTTGAATTGGTTTTTATCTACTGTAGAAATGTATAAATAATTAACAACTTTCGAAGACAGCAGCAGGACCAGATCATTACACTGGTGAATTCTAAAAAATATTTAACAAAGAAATGTTATCAATTATTTATAATTTCTTCCAGAAAATAGAAGGTAAGGAACATTTCCTGGGTATTATGGGGTCCTAATACCCAAACCAGGTGAAGGCATTGAAAGAATTAAAATGTTCAGATCAATATCTCTGATGAACACAGATGCCAAAATCCTCAGCAAAATATTAGAAAACTGAATTGAGCAATACATGGTATGAATTCTACATCAACACCAAGTGAAATTTTTTCCACGTATGCAAGACTGTTTCAACATTCAAAATAATAGTTAAGGTAATCCATCACAAAAACGGCTAAAGAAAAAAAAATGATTACATTAATAGATTTAGGAAATGTATTTTATAGAATTCAATGCCCATTCATGATTATGAACTCTCAGCACTTGGAATAGAAGGGAAATTCTTCAACTGAGTAAAGAACATGGAAAGAAAGACAGAAAGAAACAAAAAAGAAAGAAGAAAGAAAGAACAAATTAAACAGACAATATCATATATGATGTAAAAAACTGGTTATTTTACCCTTAAGATCAGGAGCAAGGCAAGGATGCTCCCTCTTACTGTTCCATTCAACATCATATTGAAATTCCAGCTAATACAATAAGTCAAGAAAAGGAAATAAAAGTTACACAGATTCAATAGAGAGAAATAAAATGCTCTTTGCTTATAAATAACTTGATTTTCTTTGCAGAAAATACCAAATAATCAACCAAAAAACCTCCTGGATTATAGCAAGGTTGCATGACATGAGGTTAATATACAAAGTTAATTGCTTTCTTATATACCAGCAATAAACAATTGAAATTAAAATTGAAAACACAATGTCATTTGGATTAACATCAAGAAAATAAAATATTTAGACATCATCTGTCAAAATACGGACAAGGCCTATATGAGGAAAACTACAAACACTGTTGAAAGGAATCAAACAAGATCTAACTAAATGAAAAGATGATCCATGTTCATAGATAAGAAGACTCAATGTTGTTAAGACGTCAATTTTCTCCAACTTGTTTTATCGATTCAATGCAATTCTAGTCAAAATGGGCAATTATATTTTGGAATTTGACAAACATTCTAACCTTTATACAGAAAGACAAGAAAACCCAGAATAGTCAACAATATTGGAGAAGAAGAAAGTTGGAAGACTTGCAAACTGATAAATGGAACAGACTAGAGATCCCAGAAATGAAAGCACACATGCACATACATAGTCAATCATTCTTTTTTTTTTTTTTTTTTTTTTTTCCCCCCGAGAAGGAGTTTCGCTCTTGTTACCCAGGCTGGAGTGCAATGGCGCGATCTCGGCTCACCGCAACCNGTCTCTACTAAAAATACAAAAAATTAGCTGGGCATGGTGGCACATGCCTGTAATCCCAGCTACTCAGGAGGCTGAGGCAGGATAATTGCCTGAACCCAGGAGGCGGAGGTTGCCGTGAGCCGAGATAGCGCCATTGCACTCCAGCCTAGGTAACGAGAGTGAAACTCCATCTCAAAAAAAAAAAAATAGATTTAGGAAATGTATTTTATAGAATTCAATGCCCATTCATGATTACGAACTCTCACCAAACTTGGAATAGAAGGGAAATTCCTCAACTGAGTAAAGAACACTGAAAGAAAGACAGCAAGAAACAAAAAAGAAAGAAGAAAGAAAGGACAAATTAAACAGACTAGCATATATGATGTAAAAAACTGGTTATTTTACCCTTAAGATCAGGAGCGAGGCAAGGATGCCCCCTCTTACTGTTCCATTCAACATCATATTGAAATCCCAGCTAATACAATAAGTCAAGAAAAGGAAATAAAAGTTATACAAATTGGATAGAAAGAAACAAAATGCTATTTGCTTATAGGTAACTTGATTTTCTTTGCAGAAAATATCAAATAATCAACCAAAAAAACTCCTGGATTATAGCAAGGTTGCATGACATGAGGTTAATATACAAAGTTAATTGCTTTCTTATATACCAGGAATAAACAATTGAAATTAAAATTAAAAACACAATGTCATTTGGATTAACATCAAGAAAATAAAATATTTAGACATAATCTGTCAAAATATGGACAAGGTCTATTTGAGGGAAACTACAAACACTGTTGAAAGGAATCAAAAGTTCTAACTAAATGAAAAAATGATCCATGTTCATAGATAAGAAGGCTCAATGTTGTTAAGATGTCAATTTTCTCCAACTTAATTTATCAATTCAATGCAATTCTAGTCAAAATGGGCAAGTTATTTTTTGGAAATTGACAAACATCCTAACCTTTATACAGAAAGACAAGAAAACCCAGAATAGTCAGCAATATTGGAGAAGAAAGTTGGAGGACTTGCAAACTGATAAGTTGAACAGACTAGAGACCCCAGAAATGAAAGCACACATGCACATGCATAGTCAATCATTCTT